TTACTCGGGAGAGAGTGCATATTTAGGTAATTGTTGAACAACACCACTCCCAAAGTATATGAGGAATCAATAACCGAGAGTTTAAAGGTGGGATTAGGGATAACGAAACCTTAGGTGCAATCTAAAGTGAGCTGTAATAAAAACCAGCTAGCGTGACTCGGGAGAGTGTGTCTAGTAAATTGTCGTAACTACTCGGGAGAGATTTACGGTAATAAGAGTGCTCATGATCGATAGAGACGATTAGGCAAATCTATGTGAACCATAATAGAAAGGGATTCTATCAATAGGGAAAATCACAACCTTAGATCCTTCTTTTATTTGTTTACAACCCAGTCATATTTAGCTTTTAGTTCACTTACTTTCATTCGGTTATAGTTAGTAAAAATATCACCAATTGTTATTCAAAATATCTGGAAAAGGTGGTTACGAAGAATTCAGTGAGTCTGACAAGAGTAATTGGTAGGTTAATTCCCTGTGGGATTCGACTCTGGGCTAAATACTCGATTTATATTTGCAACGACTGTTTTGTCCTTTTTATAAGGCATAGTTGGGTGTGATCAAAGAAAATAAAAAAAAATGAAAAAGTGGTCAAAACTACTTTTTAATTTTTGAAAAATCCATTTCCAAAAAATCTCCAAAAACTTAAGAATTTTCATGGACAAACACGTTTTTTTAAAAATTATTGAAAAAAAAATGAAAAAGAATTTATGGACAAACAGGTCTAAGGTTCCATTTGAATATAGATTTTTTTCAATTTTTTCAAAAAAAATATTATTCGTTTATAAAATTTGATTAGTTTTTTTAAAAAAAAAATCGAAGAAAATTTTTCAAGTTCTAAAAACTAGTGTGGATCAGCTTTTGGATGATAACTTTTCGTTTTAACTTTTTTTAGTAAAATGTATGTCCAAATACAATTTTAACTTTCAAAAAATATTTTTTACCACTAATTCAAAACTTTTTTTTGAATTTTCAACCAAATTTATATCCAAATGCTAACTAAAGATAGTACGATATTTCAACAAAGAAAAGAGCTAGTACAGTCATACATAATATCTTTTCCATTTGACAAATTTCAAAAAATATTTAGATAGAAAATTTAACTATTAAGCTCTTTGATTGTCTTCAAAGAAAGGCTATTGACTACTTTTTTGCTGAAATTTTGGACACGAATCTTCGCTAATTCAAGCGTTATATTGCTAGTAAGAGAATAAAATCTATAAAACAAACCACAATTATAAAAGTTCTTCCATCAATCTTAAAAGAATTTATTTTTCTAGGTAGCTTTAAAATATCTACCTTATAGTTTAAATCTTTATACGTTTAATTATGAATTTATAAAAAATGTATTAGCTTTATTCAATATATTTAATTAGGAAAATATGCGTATCTTTTGAGACTTTAAATTTGAATATTTTTTTGATCTTTTATATGTAACTTTAAAAAGGAAAAATAATTAATTTTTGAATAATTTTTATCTATACCAGTCAAAAAATATTTATACGCCAAATGTTGTTGTAGGTTAATAACAGTCATTCACTATAAAAACCAAAAGATATCGAAACAAACGAGGTTGTTATACAAAGGGTAACAATACACCTCTCATGTTTTGAATGGGAAAGAGAATCCCCTTGTGCAATAGCTTTCCAGTTAAATAATTTTTTTAATATATTTTTTCAATAGATAATTGAATAACCAAGTTCTTTCATTATAACCAAAAGCTTAAGATATGACAAACAATTAGGATCTATATAATTTATGGAGTTCCCATTTAGCCCTCTTCCTTCACAGTTTAAGATATGATGTAATGCAAAAACGCCTCCATAATAAATTTTCAAATGTGACATTATCAACTATAATTTTTGTTCAATAAAGATATTTTCAAAATAACTAAACTTTAATAATTGCTTTAGTATATTTAATATACAAAAAATACATAAACAAATTAATATAGCAACAATTCTTTCATCTAATATATATATGTCGTCACACCTCCTTTTTCCACCCGAGGGGGATATAAAGGAAGTTTTTTTCAATTTAAGTGACATAAATCGAAATGGAATTATTTTATTTATTTCAAAATCGCCACTTGAAGTAATTTATTTGATGTCTCAAGTCACCGATTTATTTTAAATCCCAAATCGAGGAAAATCAACTTTATTTAAAAGTTTGCGAAACCAGAAAACTAGGTAAGGAAAACTATTTTTTAACTTCAAATATTACTTTATTTAAAAATCATAATTTTATTAATCATAGATTTTAATTTTCGAAAATAGAATCATAACATGAAAGAGAGTACAAAACCAGTGTTTTCCGAAAATCTATCTATCTATATAGAATAGGAAAGGCAAAACAATATTAGAATGCCAAGTGGCACAACCACAATTCAACATGTGTTAAATTTTAGGACAAACTTCCAATACATTTGGAAATTAAAAAATAATTTAAAATATAAAGTAATTTAAAAATTTTAAACCTTCCCGCTTAACTACAACATGGACTTCCATGTTGGATTCAAAAAAATTTTGCGCAATTTTTAAAAATTATTTACTAAACCTTCAAATAAAAAAAATAATTACTCCAAGGCAAAATCAATAAATTTACTTTTCCAGGCGTTGCAAGAATTAGTGAATTAGTTTTTAAAAATTGATATACATATTTGATATTGTACTTTTTAAAATTATTTATTAAACCTGAAAAATCAAGAAAATAATAATTACTACAAGTCTAACCTATTAAATATAATTTCTCAGATATTGCAAGATTGTAGTAAAATAGTTTTAAAAAATTATTATACATATTTGATACTGTATCTTATCGTGGAAAAAAAGATACTGTAATAAGCTTAATAGCCTGTTTGGGGTTTGTGTTCATTCTCCTTTAAACAAATTTATTTTATACTATCCCAAAATCTCCCAAGTTTGTTGGCAATGGGAGAAATTTATTCATTCAGTTACTTTATTTATTATAAAACTTGGCAATTATGAAAAAAAAATACTTCCTTCCATTGTTGGAATCGGAGGTTTTTACAATTTATTTACGAAGAAAAAGGAAAAAATATATATCTATATATTATTAAAATGAGATAAAAATCTTCACATTAAGTTAAGAGGCAGCCTCACATTAGGTCACTTGGTAATTTAGAAGAAAGTTAGTTAGGTTAGGTAATGATGATTTTTTTTTTTTTTTTTGAATTTAAAAATTAAAAAATTAAATTATGTATTATGTGTTGTTAATGATTAGTTACTCTTTTTGAATTTGAATTTAAACATACTTAACTATTTCTTTTACGGAAAAATAATTTTGTATATTGTAAATTATTTATTCTGAAACGTTATCTGTTTTGAATTGGGAAGTTGCTAACAAATAATATAACTTCATATATTATATTAAAAGAATGATAGTGAAGCATGATGTCAAGCTAAGTGTCATATAAAGAAAATGCTACTTTGCGCTTTAAATGTAAAATTTAACTAGATTTTATGACTATATCTAATCTATACCTATATTATATATTTGAGTTAATTTAAAAAATACAATACATTCTTCTCTTTTTCCTTATTTATTTTGGTTTCACAAGTCATTATTAATTCACACAAAATAAAAGTTATAATAATGAAATAATAACAAGAAACATAATACAAAACGTAAAAATTAAAACTTTATATTAAAAATAAAATCTATCTTTTCTATCTATATATAATAGGAGAGGCAAAACAAGGATAGAATGATAAGTGTTATCACCAGAAAAATTCTAATTTTTAAAATCAAAATATATCTTATCTAATAAGAGAGGCAAAACTGATTTGGCAATTTTCAATTTTAAAAAAACAAAATCTATCTATATCAAACAAGGATAGGGTGACAAGCGTCAATACCAAAAGAATCCTAATTTTAAAAAGCAAAATAAATAAATTTAGGAGAGGCAAAACAATGGATATCGAATGCATTTATATGTTCTTAAAATAATATCATTAACATGCTTCTTTGTGTATATCATATTTTTTCAAGTAATATTTTTTAACGAAAAATTATATTTAATATTTTTCGCGCACGTATGAATACTAGTAATAAAAGAAAGGAAAAATAAAATATAAAAAAGTTCTCGTCACATACAAAGGACGTGGCCTTTTCTGAGTCACTTGACGATTAAAAAGGTACACAGTGAATTCATGTTCACATATTACACTTTATCCACTCCTTTGATCAAACTCTTCAATTCCGTTAACGTAAAACGTGATATAATACCGTGTTTTATATAGAAAAGTAATTTTTTTACACAGTAAAAACGTGTTTTGAATCCAAAATATTGGCATTTAGGTTTCGGGCCCGCCAAGAGCTACCTTTTCAGCTTTTAAAATATAATTTTTCATAATACTTTTTTAAGTGAAAAATACTTTTAGCTTCACATAAACTTACCCAAACAAGCGGCAAAAGTATCGGAGGCTGAAAAATACTCTTTTTCCTGAACAAGTGCTTCTTTGAAAATTGAGTTGTTTGACCAACAGATAATAGTGCTTTCTATTGGGAAGACACATAACTTCTTGTTTTTTCCAAGAAATTGTCTGAAGCAACAACAAAATTATTATCATAAAGTTGTGTTTAACAAACTATCCCTCATTAATTTAATACATTTATCTTTCAATTAAATATAATTTTTTTCTCTTTTTTATTTTATTTCTATCGTGCCTTTTCCTTTTTTTTAGTTAACTATTTTTCATCTCTTTCTCCTCTTCCTCTTTAGAATTCATATGTTGTTCACTCAGTTACTGTATTTTAGTTTGATACTAAATAGGTACGCCCGTGCTAAAGCACGGGCCCAATAACAATATGTACATATTAACAGCATGACTTTGTTTTTTGAGTTACATTAGAATGACCAATACTTTCTGCTTCTGTGGTATTGGAAACTTCATTTCTACTGCGTTAGGTAAAGATTAGAACAAAAACAAAAAAAAAAAATACTATGATTAAATATTAATAATATACAAACCTAACAAAACTGAATACTATAGTTTAATATTAATAACATAAAAAGCTCACAAAACATTTAATTCAAGAGTAGGGTTGAGCAGTTCTTGCTAAAAATATTTCTCTTCATATGCAATTTCTCCCATCCATTATCTGCAAGTAATTATATAGTTGAGGATTCATTTTTATTTTCTTTTCAGGTATTGTTGTCGCTTGCTTCAGCTATTTACACCACTGCAACCAAGAGGAAAGAGCAAAGAAATATATCATATTTTTTTGCTTTTGTTCCCAATATAATACTTATTGATTACTGAAGGGTACCCAAGGTTGGTTCAATCTAAAAGTTAACAGTAAACACTAAAAGGAGGGAAGAATCCCAATTTTATACAGAATCTTACAGAACATTGTCCATTTAACTTCAAGGAAAAAAAAAAATTAGATGACTGTTGTCTTGAGAGTTTCTGGAGCAAAGGTAACATATGTAACATAAGGTGTAATCTCTTCATCGCAGGTTCACATGTGCCAAACAACCATTCTGCAATGCTCAAAGCTAATGACTTTGGGTGGAGCATTTTCTACTATTCCAGCTTATAGATAATTCAGAGTTTAAGAATCAGAAAGTTTATATCATTTTATTGCATAAGATGGGTCTTCAACTTCTACTGCAAAATAGATTAGTTGAATTTCCTAGACACTGAAATACCAATAGCATTATGTGTGGCTTCTTCAACAAACAGAGTCTCCAACAATTATGCTAATGGCATTTTAAGTTAAAATAAGCCACAAGATCACATTCTCTAATTTCTCTAGTTCCTCTGAGCTAATCCAAATTAATGACATGAAATCCAAACAACCAGCATAAACAGAAAATCGAGATTTGACACTTGGAATAATTTGTCAAGCAAAGCAGTCTGAAAATGTCAAATGGGTGAAGTTAATTTTTCAAAAGACATTAATACATTATCAACTTGCATTATTTCAAAGCGCTAAATATAAGCAATCTAAGAGCTAGTTTTACCGTATGACACATCATATAACAGGACAAAAAAGATAAGTTCCCTGTCTAGTACCGTCTTGTATAGCTACTTAACTCCCTTCCCTCAATAATCTAGAGTACAGATATATATCTAACCCAATGAAGTTCAACTTATTATACTTTCAAAAAGAAATCAAGAAGCAAAAAGATTGAAAATACTGAAATATTACTCACATTGACCATAGGCATGCAGAGGGCTGTAATTCTTGCACCAGTACCAGGAACAAATCTTTTCAAATTAATTACCTCCTCAATGCCAAGTAATTTGAGCAAATATTCGTTGTAGTTTTCATAAGAATGGAAATTGATAGCCTTAAAAGGAGTTGTCCGTAGAAAAACAACTATCTTGATGAGCTGCAAAAGATTTTCTGCTCAACACGAACAATATGCTCCAGCTTTAATCTTTTAAGAGGAGCAAGAAAAGTTTTAAACCAAAAATAGTTCAGAAAAACAATGGCAAACAGTCAGAAGGTCCACAAAATATGGAACACACTGCAATTATAAGTACGGATATTGAAAGTATAACACACTCAATGCCAAAGTACAAAGCTTCAAGCTAGTATTACTATCATTCAAATTGTAAGTTTCAGAGTCGCAACCCATAAAGCAGCACTTTAAGCACATAAAAAATATTTTTGTTCAAAATGCATCAAGTTTGTTCAGCGTAAGATATGGCATCGCACTGATCCATATTCATCAAATAAAAAAATAATATGCGTGACTTCTTTTTTAATAAGTATAATATGCCTGTGTTGTCTTTGCCACTGGATTATACTATTTTTATAAGAGGAGGTAAGATAAGGACGGTTGAGTCTCTTTTAACTCCAGAGCAATATCGTTCATAAAGAGAAATATTTGTAACCATATCCCCGATATTTCTGAGTTTTGGATCAATATGCAGCAAAAAATGTAGCCAACTGCAAGCAAGCATGGGTTTGTGATGCCACCTTTTTTTTCCATCCATATTAGCAACCGCTTTAATAGAAAAATATAGATGATCCGCATTATTTTGTGAAAACTAAGAAAGAGTAGGATTTCTCGCTACATTAAATAATGTCGGCGATGAATCAACAATTTTCTACCATAAGGAGAAGGCTTTAATATCTTCTCTAAAAAGGATATGAATTGTTCTCAATTCGCACCTCTAATATGACTTAAAAGTGAATCTATGTTTTTGCAGTCAAAAGCTGGAAAACAGAGTAGAGTCAACATATGAAGCTCAAGCACTTCTCCAAAATAAAAGATAGTATGCTTACGTTGTTAAAATCTACTTCTTTCATAATAATAACTACTACTGCATGCAACTCCTCTTTCAATAATATTTTTTTTTAAATTGGCTTTATCATTTGTGTCTCTTTTAATTTATATAGTTGAGGAGAAATATAACTTCTAATGGCTGGGAGACCCTCATGACGCTGTAATAAAACTCAGTTTCAGTGCCTTTTTTGACAAAGCAAATTTCTAGGCTAACTGGTAGTCTTTACAGTTGTCACTTTATAAAAAGAAAAAAAAGCAGTTTGAATCTGAGAAGTTTTGAACAGAGGATCTATTACATATATTTCAAGATGTGATAGTAAATGCCACATCCTCAAAACAGTTTTATGAAACCTGCAATAAAGTTTATTAAAATAATAAAAAGATTTTCTATTTTAAATAAAGAATTCGTATGCAGGAAAAAGTTGTATATACAGGTCATTGGTTAAAATTAGGTTGACTACATAATATATACGAAATTCTTCCTAGTTGGTTACCCTAATTCTGACATGCATAAGTTGTTAGTTAACAGTCACAAGTAGAAAAGCTCCTCTTATTGCTAAGTCTAAGAAAGTTTTCATTTCTGAAGAACATAAATATTCTTTTGAATTTCTTGAGTACCATTTAAAGGCAAATGAAACAGATAAAGGCAAATGAAATAGATAAAGGCGCAGCTTTATAAGACTTGCTTGTATGGCTATAAGAAAGAGGAAAAAGTGACAGATATCTCTTGTAAAGTCATTATGGGCATCATCTATTCTCTTTATACCAATGACCCCTATTTCAGGATAGCTGAAATTTTATCAGATACCATAATTTTGTCACATATAGGGAATCAGTAACAAAACAATACATGCTTGAACCTTTTTTTAGTATCAAATTATGACATGCAAATAGGAATTATTTTTTAACTGATTAAAGGAGTTTGTCGACATGTTATTCTGGAAGGTTGATAATCTTGCACCAGCTAATTATCTATTCATTTCAGCCCTCATGAGACTATATAAACCCATCAAAAAACTAAATCTTTCGCTTTGATTAAAAGCTAAATACAAACTTTACCCCATAACGGCACCAAAAAACAACATCAAGAATAACAAAAATTCAAAAGGTTTTGATACTTCAATTACCATAACAATAACATGCATGGACAGAACCAAAGGTAAAAACATAGAGATGAACAACCAAATGGGATATAAAGAGATTGAGAAACAAAGATTGATTTATCTGAGAAGAAGGGCGTTGGAGGAGACAAAATGGGCAGATCTTCCAAACGGTGGCAAGCTTTCAATCTGATTCTATTCTTTTGCCCCTTCTGGTTCATCCTTAAATTGATTATGGACATGCATGTCCTTAACAACTTGAGTCAACTTACATGTGCAATAATATGAGAAATCCCATATAAATTTGGAATTAAAAGAGAAGTAAAGCTCAATTTGCAACAGAAACGCACCTTAAAAAAAGTGAATATCACCAAGTTGTTTCAAGAATATTGTCAAACAACCTCAGTGCATCATTATTCAAATTGATATCCCGTAAAATTTCATTATTAATAATTGGGTGAACCTAAAAAGGGAAAAATAGGGGAAAAAAACTTATCAGAACTGAAAAAATTAGAGTACACATAGTATTTTTCGAGAGTGGAGCTAGAATGACATCCAGTGGAAGCCCTGAATGCTTCAATAATCTTGAAAAGCTTCGAAGAAATGTCTAATTTCAGTACCTTTTGGGGAAATTTACTATCCCTCACACAACGCAAAATCAATAGTAGCTTTACTTACCAGTTAAAGGAGATAGTAAATAGAGAAATTCATCTGAATCACCAAATTAAGTGTACAATCTGTTGCGATTTTCATTAAGGGAAGAAGAATTAATTTTGATTATCCAAAAAATTGAATTATGCACCTATTTTCAAACCAAACCAATGTAATTGATAATATCATCACTATGCATGTAGAGATCCAACAGAAAAGTATTCAAAGGAGCACAAAAATTAACAGATTTCAATTAAAGTGCCATCATCAATAGCCGGGTGCGTTAAACAAAGAAAAAATGCAGAAAACTAAATAATTGGAAGATAAATACAATTAACTTGAAATCAACCAGAGAAATTTGAAAGAAAACGAATTCAATGTCTCTAGAGGAGCAATGGAAAGGAGGATCATAATTAGTTCTAATAGTAGGAGTTTCTAGATTGTACTACGGATAGCAGTAGAGAAAGTGAAAAATATACGTGTTAGAAAGGAAATGGGCCCAACTTACGGTACACTTCACATTGAATTTAGTACAACTCCTCAAAGCTGTGTTCGTATCACCCCACTCCCATTTCTATATAATAGAAATAGAAATGTACAAAAAGAATTTGATAAGTGCCATATTTCTTTAATAAAATATTTTTATTGCTTTTGACTTTATTCAAATTTTACTTAATATTTTTCTAATCTTTTCATACTGTCATATATACGTGTTGACCTTGTTCCCGTTATACCTATTAGTAATTGATTATTGTCAAACTGATTGTAGGATAATCATACTTGTGCGGAATGAATTTTTGATTTATATTAATTGTTATAGTTTAGTATATTCAAATAATCTGTATACGGTGAAATCAGATGGTCCAATTTCTCGTCATTAAGGTGTTTCAGGAAGTCATATCGAGATCTCGAGGCTGCGATCGAGTTCTCTCCCTCGATGTCCATTTACGCTCGACTCAACGACGATGCCGAGGATGGGGAGTTCCCAAGGCGAGCAGATAGCACTGGCAGAGCCTGGTGTCACGTCTAGCCGTCTCATCTCCATACCTTTACAATTAATGCATTATGTACTATGTTAGGATTCCCCTCCTATATAAAGGGGATCCTTGCTATTTTGTGAAGCCCGGCTGTTGCTCCAACTATTCTACACGAAATATATAACAACTTTCTCTCTCTCTCTCTCTCTCTCTCTCTCTTCTTCCCAACAAATTCTCTCAGTATTATTGCTCATATTTATTGTCTGCATATTTGTTCTTCATTTATTGCTTGTTATTGGCCTTAAAGAGCCTCCCTTGATTATATCCTAACTGTTAGCCCCTTCCCGATTATCCCCGATAGCTCGAGCCCGAGCCCTGGCATCGACCTCGAGGCCCCTCATCGGTCAGTCCGAGGCCCGAACAGCTTACCTTCGGTTGATTATAACTATATTTTAGCTCGTATTTCATCTTTTATCTTCACATATCTAGCATCAACTGCTTTAACAACTAGCATAAAAATAGATTTAGTATTTTTAGAGTCCCATCAACAAATTTAATTGTTATTACCATTTTCATGGTAAACAGTTTGGCACCCACCGTGGGGCTAAAAATAATAGTGATTATTTTCTTGCTGGTTTCTTTATACAACGCAAGTTATCTTTCACACTTTTTCTTGTCCAAGATATTCGATTTCAGGTCAAAATGTCTGGCTCACTGAACAGAGTTAAGAACGACAACCTTGAAAACCACGGAGAAAACGGTGTGGTTGTTCCAATTATTGGTGCGCCACCACAGAACCCCGACAACGCGTCTGGACCGATTCCAGTAGATGCGGGTTCGCAGGACGCACAACAGGTCGACGAAACCTCACACACCGATAGGAGCATACAACATGGCGACCAACAGGAAGCCCAAAAAACCCCAGCTCGGGAAGAACAGGAAGTTAGCCTTCATGTTATTTTTGAAATGTTGCAGGCACAACAGTTGGCTATCGCTCAGCTGCAAAGCCACCCGAAGACTCCCAACACGGTAGCACCGGGGACTGCTCCCCCAGCCGAACAGATACTTGAGAGATCGAGCAATAACGGATCGATAGCCGACCCTGCCATTGTAAAAATGCTCGAAGACCTCACCAAAAGGATCTAATCGGGCGAGAAAATGACAGCAGCCAATGATAAGAAGGTCGAGACCTACAACTCCAGGGTCGACTAGATCCCGGGAGCAACCCGGTCCTGAAGGGTGTGGATTCGAAGAAGTTCATACAAAGGTCATTCCTCGAAGAAGAGTCCCAGAAACCCATTCCTAAGAAGTTCAGAATGCCGGAACTCCCAAAGTACAACGGGACCTCAGATCCCAATGAACACGTTACCGCCTACACTTGCACGGTAAAGGGCAACGATATAAAAAACGATGAGATCGAGTCTGTATTGCTAAAAAAGTTCGGGGAAACACTCTCGAAGGGGGCCATGATGTGGTATCACAACCTAGCTTCCAACTCCATAGATTTATTTGTCATGCTAGCAGACTCCTTCATAAAGGCACACACTGGTGCCATAAAAGTAGCAACAAGGAAGTCCGACATATTCAAGATTAAGAAGCGGGAGAATGAAATGCTACGAGAATTCGTATCTCGCTTCTAAACGGAACGAATGGAACTACCCCCGGTATCCGACGACTGGGCGGTGTAGGCCTTCACTCAAGGCCTGAATGAACGAAGCTTAGTGGCCTCAAGGCAGTTGAAAGAGAATCTGATCGAGTATCCCGCCGTAACCTGGTCGAACATCTACAATCGGTACCAGTCAAAGATCAGGGTCGAAGATGACCAGTTGGGAGCCCCCTCGGGCTTAGTATATCCGAGTAGACTCCTGGAAAATGAGTCAAAACTGAACAAAGAGAGGTATCAGCCGTACCCCGAAGATAGGAGGAATTTCCCGAGACGCAATCCGCCTTGCAACGATCGATTGGTGAACCGAGGACAAAACCTTTGGGGACTCATCAAAAGAGGCGGATTCGACGGGGCCAATGGGGGCACCTTGCCTATCAGAATACAACTTCAACGTCGACGTATCGGGCATCGTGTTCGCCATCAACAAAATTAGGGACGCCAAATGGCCCGGGCCTATAAAGTCAGATCCTTCACAAAAGAACTATAACTTGATATGCGAGTTTCACAACTCGCACAAGCATAGAACCGAGGATTGCCGGCAACTCCGGGAGGAAGTGGCCCGACTACTCGATAACGGACACCTTCGAGAAACAACCAGCACGTCATTCACATGATTTTTTGAGACACGCCCTCGGCTGTATTCAAATAAAGGACCACATCGCGTCCACCAAACAAACGCCAAAATCCAAGAGCGCCATCTCCACTAAGGTATAATCATCTCCCCCTTTTTCTTATTTTTTACTTTACGATAACTTCTGCGCAGGCCATCGACCAAAGCAGTCAAGATGTCGATCCAGCTCGAGGACCTCGTGGGTTCGAAGCGTCCATTGCACTCTTTTCCTTCAACCGAGTTTTTATCCCAAAATGAGTTTTTACTAGCAAGGTTTTTAATGAGGCAACGTTCACGCGCTACCTAAGGAGGATCCGACAAGCGTACAAGGCTTCTTTTGCAATCAACCCCCGACACTGGAGGGCACCCCCTTGAGAGGTCATCCACTCGGAAGAACCAGGGAACGACAAATAAGGTTCCAATTGGAAATGATGTACCTATCCAAACGGTCAAATGGACCGTGTCCGCATAAGCCGGGCTCACGGCAACAAAACAACTTGTACTTATGCCAAACAATCAAAGAATATTTTTCGCCAAAGCATCTCGTACTCCAAAGAAAATTCAGCATTTTGACAGCAAGGATCCCTCTACCAAGAATGCCCCGAAATACTCGGAGACTAGCATCAATAACTCGGCACCCGCATGGCCTCAGGGTCGGAACTCCATAATCATAAGCCCTCAACGAGGAAGCACGGAAATCACAAAACATCTCTAAAAAGGAAAAATGTCCCAAACACTCGGAGACTGGCATCGCAAATTTAGAAAGTGCATGACCCCAGGGTCAGAATCTCTAAAATCATAAGTGTCACACCGCCTTTTTGCGCGTCCGCCCCGAAGGGTAAATGCGCGAGGGAGTTTTTCCAATTTAAGTGACAATATTCGAAATGAGATTATTTATTTATTTCAGAGTCGCCACTTGGAAAAGGTTTGGCTTTTGGTGTCCCAAGTCACCGGTTTATCTTGAATCCCAAATCGAGGAAAATATTCGACTTTCCAAATGAAGTCTGCGAACCAGAAATTCTAAGTAAGGAATTCTGTTGACCCGAGGGAAGGTGTTAGGCACCCTCGAATCCCGTGGTTCTAGCACGGTCGCTTAAATTGTTATAATGGCTAGATATCTGATTTAATACATGTTATTACTTATGTGCTTTTATTAAGTTTAAGCCGCTTTTATTATTTTTTTTTATAGAATTGCAACGTTGTGAAAATGCATCTCGAACCACGTCACAATCAATACACCAGTGGTCGTCAATACATTCCGACTCCGTCGAGATTTGAATTTGGGTCACATAAATGCACACCCGAATTTTAAGAATGTAATTTAGTTAAGTCGCGCCTAAAAAGTCTAACGCATTGTTATCTTTGGGGAGGCAGAGAAGTTCGCTAAACAGTCCATCCCAAGTTCTAAGTATTTATTATGGCCAATTATTGAGGGCCCCGCAATTTGCATTTTTATTTGGCGAGGCTCGTCTCATTATTTTTTAAAAGGGGTGAACCTACAACAACTACATCTTTCTATTATGTTCGTCTCTAAAATGAATGAGAGAAAATCCTAACTCGTTACGAGCTTAAAAGAGGCGTACCGTATTAAACGCTAGATTGAGATGAACATTAACTGAAAGGAACATTACTAGAAATTATAAACAAAATTGAGAACGATAAAATAATATATTCGAACGTGATTAACTATCCTATAGCTAAATTAACACTCCTCCTAA